ATGTATGTGCCCCCCCCCCCCCCCCCCCCCCCCAACATCAAACTCTGGCTACGGCCCTGATACTACCACAGTCACACTTAGAGCGAAACCGCCTACAGACCTACAATAAACCGAACGAGATATCAATTACCCCAATCGACTCGATCTGGAGTCGGAGTGGAATTGGTTTGGCGTTATGACTGGGGTTTTATAATGACCCCCTCTACCCCTACCCCAAAACGAATATATTATATGAATAAATAAGATAAAATGAATATTAATACACATTTAAAATCATAAAATATTGGGCATTCCAGTACAGACTGATAGCCCTCGAGACCGAAAACCCACAAGACCGACAATGCCGGTCTGCCGAACTCTCAGAAAAAAGGTTGTCAGAATGCCCATCAGGTCCGACTTGTCTCATGAGCTACCGGTCTCGTGAGCTGTCGGTCTCGTGTTATATAGCCATTGGATCTCATTTACTTACGCCGCAACACCGGTTCCAGTAGAGACCCATTTCCTTTTAGTCTTACTCGGCCCACCTGCAGGGGTCCCGCTGGCTGACTCGTCGCCCCTATCCCCAGACTCTGCTGCTGCCCGGCGACTAGCACTTGCTTTCTCCTTCCTTCTCACAAACTCCAATGCTCCCATCAACATTTTTGAAAATGTTAACTTCTTCTCTCCTTATTGATAAGATGGAAAATATGTGAAATCCAGGAGTGGGTAAACAGTTTCATTTGTAAAAGTACACGAGATCTCAGATCATTTTACTCTCTGGTTTGTGAGAAATGAATTTAGAAGAAGCAAATCGATAAGAAAAATTATGATTTCCGTTCTTTCTGTTCTGCTCTAGATTCATGCATGCATTCATTAATGATGAACTTTAATCAAAATTACAGTATGCTTCTTTTCCGTTTCAGCTCCAGACGAAATTATCCGACATGAAAGTCACATTTCATTTATCCATGCACGCAGGAAAAGGATGAGAGCCGATGATTTTACGTCGTCGTTAAAGTCCTTTCAGTAAATCATCGCCATAGCTATCTTGTTCTGTCTTTAAAAATGTCTTGATATTATACACGATTATCCAGATGCCTTGTAGAGAGTGGATAGAATAAAGATGCTCTCCATCGGATCAACGTATATCATTCCAGCTTGCTGTATACGAGATAACGATAATGACGACACAAAGCTTTCGTTTAAAATCAAAAACTTAAAACATAAACAAAATGGAGAATGTTTCAACGATTGTCGAGAGAGAGGTCGTTGCTCATCTTCAGGCGAACTTCTGTCCAGTTTCACTTGGTACACTTCTCCTCTTTTTGCTAGCAATCATGTTCATTCATTCTCAAAGTGTTGTCAATGACAATAGTGACGGAACCCCCCAAACCACTCTCACTCTCTTCGCATCCCCTTCGCAAAAGAATAAAAGCAAACATAGAATGACGTCATAGATATCTTAAGGAGTTCGCAAGTACACTAGATCCATGTATTGCACAATCAGATAATTGGCAACACGAGAGTGGACTGTAAATCGTAATCTCATGAAGGTCGTTGCTTCATTAAACAAAAAATAACAATGAGTGAAAGTAAAAAATGATCCCGCTCTGCCTCTTTGGTCATTTTAAGGGAATCATTCCAGCATTAATTAATGGAAGCCAAATACTACTCACGTCACTCATGTCATCAAGGGACTCCATCTGCATTATATGACAATGCAAGAGAACATTCTAATCGAATTCAAGTGTTTGTCAGCCATGTTTGTTTTGTAGTTAGTGAAAGGGCTTCCATCGAGGTAAAACTGTCTAAAAGCATCGCTGATGTCAGTTTTGCCCCCAAACCATAATGAGGGCTCATAAATATATATATTTATTCGCTTACTGGACCGAGTTTCCCCTCATTTTTCTTGTTCACGAAAATGTTGTGGCGAAATGGCAAATAAAGACGAAAAATATTAAGCGTAGCATTAAAATAATGATGATGAATACGTAATAGTCATATTGCCTTTGCCATGATTTTGTATTAAAAACATGAAAGACAGAAGTGATGTTAAGTCATCAAATGAACGTTTGCTCTAAACCTTTTGATATTTTAAAAGCAATTTAGAATCTACTCCCATCGCCTTTTGTATGACACTGAGTTACGTTACAAGACAGTAGACCTATTTAGTTACAATATGTATTTTTGTATGCGTGTTTAATTGTCAAAATAGTCTATAAACCTGAAATTTAAATAGGTTATATACTCGGAATTGCGCATGTTCCATTATTCCACGCTAATTAAAGTCCAAAATAATGTAAAGGTGTTGATAATATGGCTTATTATGAAAGAATGGAAATAGAAGTAGCCGGGGAGAAGTATTGGTGTCTAGCTCACTTTATTTGACATCAAATTTGACGCGCCGGGCGCTCCGGTATAAAAAATTAAGAAATTAATACGAAAGGCTAATGTGAAAAGATGAAATAAGTAGGTTTATATAGGCTGATTTATGCATTGATTGAGTTGTAACTGAATTGTGTATGGATTAATATCGGATATACTGTCATTTTTACGCGATGGAGCTGGAAATAAATTAATCATTATCAACACCCGCTAAAAAACGACCAAAATAGAGGGTTAGTTATGGGAACTGAAACTGTTACGTCAGTGATCAACGACAAAGAGAATTTGAAGAGAGCTTTGTTGAATAGGGAGTCTGGTTTGGTACACAACGTTGAGTGGTCTCGGGGAATCGAAATAATCAGAGCGTAAACAGAAGCGAAGATTCTCTTCCTCAAGTTTAATGCAATTAACACTAGGTCTATAGAATGATGAAAAGCATTGTATAGCTTGTTGTTATGGTAACGTCTGCAAGATCTTATTCCATCATCATTATTATGCCCGTTAATATGTAGTCCGTTTGATGTTACATCATCTTTCATTTTCTTATTTCTTTCTTTCCGTCTCTTCTCTGCATGTCTCTGTCTGTCTGTCTGTCTCTGTCTCTGTCTCTCTCTCTCTCTCTCTCTCTCTCACTATCTCTCTCGTCCTTTCACGCTGCGCCTTTCCACGATCTACCCCCCCCCCTCTCTCTCTCTCTCTCTCTCTCTCTCTTTCTCTCTTTCTCCCTTTCTCCGTCTTTTCTCTCTCTGGCTCTCGACTATATCTTGTACTTTAACTTTACATCCACTTCTTTCGTTTCGTATTTTTTAAAGCTTTTCTTCTATCTCTTCTTATTATCATCCTCCTTCTTCATCTTTATCTTCTCTCCTTTTTTTCTTATTAAAGTTGTTTTTCTATCTTTCTTCTTTTTCTATTTCTTATTTTTCTTCAACTTTCCTTCGACAAACACCTGATTCTAAAATAACAACTACATTTTCTAGGTCTCAGTGGCGGATCCAGGAATTTCTTACTCGGGGGGGGGGGGGCACAAAAACGACGGAGCGAGGCGTCAGCGGCGAGGGAGCGGAGCGACCAAGCGGGGTGGGTCTGGGAGAAGGTCAAAACCGCCTCCCATAGTAGGAAGAATTTGCAATTTTAGAACCACATTTGGCGCATAAATGTCCACAGACACTTCCTGGAAAAAAAAGAGGCCTTCTGATTGGTTAGAAGTTAGAGAAAAGTGATCTGTCACGTCGCGAGACGATGTATAAGCTTCGTTGCTGCACAACGCCAACGGAATCAGTTTCCTCCTCACGGGGAAGCTTTGACGTTTCATTAAATTATTAGAGAAAGAGGACGATTCGTTGTATCGACTCTTAATCATTGTCTGATTTTTTACAAATGTTTCTTTGTCCGATAAAAAGTCACAGTTCGTAGGGGAAAAAATTGCCGGTCGACCGTCATAATACATCTCACCGACTTCAAACTTCTGCATTGATATAGTACACGAGGATCGAGCAACAGAATACCGACACAGCGAACCCGACACAGCAACATAATTATCTATGTGTATCTTTCTTGCCCCCTCGACATGGTGACTCCACCGACATCCCCCTCTCTACTCCAACCCCTCTTCTCTCAGGCTCTTACCTCCTCTCTCTCATCTATTTCATCCACTGTTTCCCTCTTCTTCCCCCCTTTCTCCTTTTCTTTATTTTCCTTTCCCTCATTTCCCCCTCCCCCTCATATTTCCTGATAGCAGCGCAACTTTACCGACAATATCCTGACAGGTGGGGCGGCGGGGGGGGGGGGGGTGTCGCACCCCCACACCCTTTAGCGACGTCACTGGTTGTTATCCCATTATTCTTTTAACAGAAATGCAATTCCTCATGCTCTCGCACCTCTCTTCTGTCATTGTTTTATTCTCTTTCATTTTGTTTTTCTTTCTCAACTCACAAAAATTCTCCCTTTCCCCCTTTTTTCCATCTCCTTTTTGTGTGGTGCTTCTTGTGCTTTTTTGTGTGTGTGATGTGCCGGGGGGGGGGGGGGCTATACACGCCTGGCACGAGGGACCCCATATTATGGACACTGCGTGACCTCGCCCCCTTTCCGGCAAAAAAAACTACCTTCTTATAATATCACCCCCTTTCTTTCTTTTCCCTTCTCATTATTCTCCTTTCCACTTTTTCTCTCATCCGTCTTTCCCCATTTCTTTCTTTTCCGTCTCTTCCCCTCCTTTTTCTTTCCTCCTCTTTTTTCTCCTTTTCTCCCTTTTTCTTTTCCCCCTTCCCCCTTAATCCCCCAATTTTTTAAAACCGGAATCCGCCACTGGGTCACGGGTTCAAATAAAGGAGGGCCTACTTTGGTATGATTCATTCGAACGTGAGATATGATATCAAATACAGTCATGTAAATATTGAGAATTTAGTCTAAATATATAGACAATTAGAAAGGAAACATGGAAAAGGGATTTTGAAAAATACGCTAAATATTATAAAAAGGATGAAAAGAAGTGTACTAAAAAAAGCATGCTTTATTTTCATTACTAAGTTTGCAATCCTTATACTGCAAAAACTTTCGGATTAGAGAGTTTAAATTTTTTAAAGTAAAATATACTATCGTTTCTTGATATGGAGGTCTAGTTTCAAAGACTAGAATCTACTTCTAGATCAATCATGGCGGCGTCCGCAGGGTTACCAGCGATCCCCGACAACTTGAAATCTATTCGCCCTTTCATGCTTGTTGCCAAAGAACATGATGCCAGAGATCCTGTAATTGCATACATTTGTAAGTAACGTTTTTATTTGCATTTTTGTATCTGAAATGAAAAGAATATAGTCTAGGCCTAATGAACCCTCAAAGGCAAAGCGAAGCCAAGTGGGCCTGTGTGGTCCCTCATATTGAAGATGATGTCAGAATATTAACTATTATGAATAGTAGACCGAAAGCTTCAGTCTCTAATATCGACGGTGGTTCCGCTGAGATTGCATCTGGCTCCACTGACCGCCTCTATACATAGACTGAAGTACGGCCTATGCCGTACTAGTGGATCAAATGGTTCGGTTTGGCAGGACCGCGATGATATGCAACGAGATTTTCACTCTTTACATCCTCATATTTCATAAATGCACTTTTGCTGCAATTATACAATAGGCTAATAAAAATATAAAAAGTAACAAACAAATATGGCTTTGACTTACGATAGCTTGCTAATTTATATCCTAAATTAATGATTAATCCGAAAAAGTCTCGTAGTCGACATGATTCGTTGTCATCCATCTTGGTTTTAATTAATGAATATTCATTTTTTCTTTTCGAACGTCCAATAGCTACGCACAATTCAACCCAGTGATATATGAATATTCATAAACCCAATACGAAACGAGTGCTCTGATTGGCCATTCACTATGTTTTGGTAGGTTGACCTGGAAATATATCGGCCAGGTGATGTTAATTTGAATGGATGAACGGTACGTTTCACGGTTCGGAGAAAAAAATTGGATAAATTATATAAGTAAGTCCAAAAATTTTGCATTTGTATGATAGGTCAATTATTATTATTTAGTGTAAATAGGAGTACAATACATACTTAATTTATATCTGATTTATAAATCAGAAAATTAGATCTAAATAAATAGTGAAAATCGGGGGAGAAAGCTCTAGAGCTATCTAGGGAGGCCAATGCCCGGGCGTAAGGCTTCTACACCTACGATTTGTGTGCTCGTCGCCCACTTCAAAAAATTAGCAGAGGGGAAAAAAATATGTAAAAATAAAAATTGATGAAAATAAGAAAAGAAAATACAATTATACATTTCATAACATACCTATAATCACGGATCTGTAACAGTCTTTCACCATTTGTTGACGATCTTGCAGATTTTGACGTATTGGAATACAATAATTGGGCTAGCAGAAGACATTGGCGGACGCGCACCACCGACTAAGAAAATCCTAGAGGGCGTAGAGGTTTGCTCACTAAAAACCTTCTCATTGGCAGAAGGTAGACCCTAAAAATATGGGATCCGTTTTGAGTAAAGAACTTTTGATAGAGATCAACATTTCAGATGTTCACAATTGTCACTTCTAAACAACTAGAAAATATAAAGAAAAAAGATTATATCTTTTTAAATACAGATTTTTACAAACTGAACATTCGAAGGTAGATAGAGTACGATGTTTATGTCAATCTTGCGTTGGTTTGAGCCCCATAGCTACAGCCATCTCAAAATGAGAAGAAAAACTGTGAACAGTGCTGTCATTGTTTTAGCCAAAAATGGAAGTCTTGCGACATCATATTATGAATATGTATGAGCTCCGGTCCTATCGCGCGCCAGACAAATCTTTCGTAGTCTCACACACAGTACCTTATTCTCACAGCACTATAGACTCGAGTGTCGAGCTCGTGCAGTAAATCATGCAAGAGAAATGTTAAAAAAAAGATATTTCAGTAAAAAATGTCTACGTGAGCAGTCTATACTCCAATTGAGAAGTTCGGTTGAAAAGACATGATTGGATGATGTGTTGTCACGTATAGCCGAAGAAGAAGAAGGAGAGAGAGAGAGAGTGAGAGAAATATTAGTACACGTACGTTGCATGGATATGCGCTATGCATGCTGCTGTCCTATTGTACTCCGCATTGTGTTCGCTGCGAGATGGATGTTAATTGGACCTCGTAACTTCTCGATCGTTGATAATAAGGAATACTCATGAGGAAATCAAATTATTGGAATACACATCTAAGGTAAATATCAATGAATTATATATATTTCTTTCCTGCCAATTTTGATATCTCTTCTTCATTTTTAAACCATCGCCTTCGGCTCGTAGTAGTAGATCTAGAAGATGTAATCGTTCGCACATTGATGGCTGGATTTCAGCCTGCATCGGGGCTTGCCTGTGTCGGTGTGTACGTGTGTGACCGATTCAAGGCTAGCCGCTGTTGAGTGATTGCACTTTCGCGCGAAGTTTTAAACTTCATCATGAACTTTGTCCGGACAATGACACGCCCATTCCCTCGAGCCTGTCTAATTATGAACGTAACTTTGCGACATGAAATATAATTGTTTCAAGGCTCTTACGTACGGATAGGCGTAGAAGGAAGCTGGATAAAAAGAGCTGGATATCTCCTATTTGATGGAACTTCTGGAGTCGGCAGATGGGTGAATTTTCTTAGTGAAAGTACATTAAATGCTTTCTCTTAATCTTGGTTTTTATTATAAACAAATTAGTAATTAAAAAGTTAGATTTGGGCATTGGCCTCCCTACTCTATCACCATAAGTGGCAGCTGGATTGGCCAGATTACCCCCACGGTACGAGATCTCTGGGTTGCCGTCTGTATATGGGGAATGTCAACAAATGTCATTTTTATTAAAGAAATGACCCATATCAGACGGTTATTTCTGTCTATATGAATAGAAGCTCTGTTAGAGAGTTTTATTACACACCGCTCATCCAAGCAGTTGGTATCACTTTTTATTTACAATTTTGATGACATCTTCTCTTAATATGAAGATTCTTGGATCCTTGTCGATAAGTTCAAAATTTTCTGAACAGACGCAAAAGACAGGAAAATTTGCTGATCTTTTGTTCAATATTTTCAAACCGAATTCCAAAGAAAATTTTATCTTGGGGTAATTTTTTGTTTGTTCTTCCTTTGGTTGTATCAGATTTTCGAAATCTAACCAATTTTTTTTAGATATATGGAACTGTCCGCGAATTAAGGTCACTCACCATCTGTGGTCAAAGTCAAACCACCATACCATTTTAGCTCATGATCGACCAAAACAAAATCAACCGTTCAAACTCGGTCCCTATGGTCTGTTTTGCGCCGGCAATGTGACTAAGAAATGCTGGAGTGCTCTTTGCCAGGATTGACAATAGATCTCCCATTTAAGTTTTATGAGTATTTTTTCCAACATTGGGGAGTTTGTTGAATTGAATGTAATTTTTTTCTACATAGATGTCATCAGTTGTCTCAAAAGTGATTATTTTGTGTGCATTCTAATGAGGTTTGTAGTTTGTATAGTGATGTAAGATAATTTTGAGAATCAACCGAGGATGTTTTAATTGAATGTTTTTTCATACATGCGCAGTTTACTGATACTGCTATGCGTTGGTTGTTTCACAAAACCAACTCCATTACGGTCTTATCTTTAACAAAGACTTTTTCCGCGACCTACGGAGATCATTACGGATATATCAGGAAGAAGACAACCCGTTTCACAAACCATTTCAATTCGATAGTGTCATGAGAATGTTACTATGCAGATGTAATGGGCTTGTGTAAAATTGAGATACTTTCTGAGTAACACTTTATGATGCCTTTTGACACACATTCTTGGTTAATCTGTTGGGTGATTCTCTTCTTTTTTTCATTCAGGTCGTCGCTATGCCGTGGAAGTAGCACTCAAGATGAAAAACCGATCTGCAGATGGTACTCAGTTTCTAGTTGCCTTGATGGATCAACTGGAAAAGGCATGTAGATAATATATTTCTCAAACAAAATTACAAAAGCATTATTTATTTTAACTAATGCAGAATCGTATATCTTTTAAACTTGTTATTTTTCATCTGTTTGGTGCAAAAGGATGCTAAATCAGATTGTACATCATTTCACAATTAGATGATGCCCTTCTGGATCCAAAAGAGGAGTTAATTTCTTTCTGAAATGCACTCAAATATTAGTTTTATTTGAGAGTTTCCAGAATAGTTTCCAGTATGTAGGCATTTGGCAGTAATGCTTGTTACTTTTGCCAAAAATTCGATCTACCGGTACTTGTAAATTATTATTTGAAAATAATATTTAAATTTTACTTCAAAATATATATTATCAATGGACCTACATGAACACATTTACAAATTGGAAAATCTGGTACGGTTCTTCCTTTATTTTAGAGCACATAATTATATCTGAGATTTGTTGTCTCACTGATAACAGTGGCACATTCTAAAGCAGCATTTTTTACTATTGTTTTTGACAGAGCCCCCACCCCCAGAGAACATTACAATGCCCATGGGGGGGGGGGGGTGGGGTGATCCTTAGAGGGCAAGTCCACTCCAAAATTAACTTACATTGGATAAATTTGGACTGTGCAATTTTGACTCAGATCCCACTCTGTACTGCTTACTATTAATGAAATGAATTTCACCATACTCTAACTATAGGGTATAAGGGTTATTTAACCTGTAACTTCCTTCTTCTTATCTTCTCTTTCTTCTTTTCTTCCTGTAACTGTCTTTACCTTATGTTATCTTTATCTTTCCTCTGTCCTTTGTTGTTGTGAATATGTATGTACTATGTTTTTTATATAAAATAAGTTTGTATCTTGTTTATGCAAAGTATTTATTTGGGGATCATTCTCATCAAGCCAATTTTGGCTTTCATAATTCCCCACTTCCTTTTATCTGATGATGAATGAAGATGTATACTTTTGATGTTTTTTAAAAGAGAGTGAAATAAATGAAATGAAATGAAACTAATTGTCCTCTGAATTCTCTTAAATCTTCTTAAATGTGTAGAGAAAGAAGGAGTTGATGGCAACGGCGGACGAAGCAATGCAGAGTGACATTGTCGCCTCGGCTTATGTTGAGAACTATGCCATGAGGCTCTTCTTGTATGCTGATACGGAAGACCGCAAAGGAGTCTTCAATAAGTAAGGAGACTCCCAATTTCATTGCCTTTCTTCTTTTTCAATTCAAATGAACATTTCTTTTCCTCAAAATCAATTTGACAACATATTTGACATCTGTTCAAACAATACAATTTATACGTATGAACATAAATATAATTAAAGAACTTGTATTACAAGGAAGAAGGCGCGAATCCCGATAAGCAAAGCTTGTAATGGGTACGCCCGAATACACAAATACATAATATACATTATAAATAGAAGAAAGGAAGAATAGAGAGCTTGGAGAAAGAGAAAAGGAGAGGACTGCAACATAGTAGCAATGGAGTGTATGGCATGCATAAACAACATGATGGCAAGATATAGGTGAAGGGTATAATGTGGAAATATATGACTTTGAGATTAACAGGATATATGCACATACATACATGTATATACTTCGTAACACGTACATAAATTTGGAAGTGGGGAAGAGGGAGCAAAGGGTGTTCAATATTTATGTACAAATACTTGAATTTTTTTTTGTCTCCATGGGCAATGATCCAATACCACTAATTGTATTAGATGTTGAATACATATGTCTGCATATATATGCATGACAGCATTCATCACCATCTAGTGCCGTCCCTTCGGAAGGGGTTGGCAGCTATGCACCTCCATAGCTTTCTGTCATGTACCCTTGTTCTAACCTCTCCGTAGTTAAGACCAGTCCATTTCTTGACATCATCAAATCAAGTGATTCGCTGTCTACCCCTTTCTCTACCATTCCTTCCAGCAAGATCTTCTGCAATCCTCCTCCTCTCATCACATGACCAACATTATAATAGATTATTGTATCATGTTGTACGGCTAGTCAGGTCGTATATTAATGATATAGATAAGAGAATGTATAGCTTAAGTAATTGAGCTATACAAACAAGGTATTGGACCAATTTATGTTTTCTAGACTTTCCAATACCTTTTCTCCCTGGGCCCTGTTACATAAAACTTACCATTAATGGTAACTTTGCAATTGATGGTAACTTCCATGGAAGGTTGGAAACCTTGATTTGATTGGCTTTTGAGTGATGTTGCCATGGTAGTTGATATTGATGGCAAAGTTACAATCGATGGTAAGTTTTATGCAACGGGCCCTGGACTGACTTTATAGTTGTAGCTATAGTTATTGTTTTCAATGATATGCCCTCGAGACTTTCATAACAATGACGGTACGATTGTTCAAGCTTCTATCCAACTACTACTAGATGTTTAACTGGAAAGTTTTCTTTCACTCATCAATCATAAAACTTGCATCACAATTTTTAATCTTTGCATGTTTCCTTTCTACTATCTAGGGGTGTAGTGAAATCCTTCCATACAGCCAGCACTCTCTTCGATGTTATGCAGACATTTGGGGATCTAACCGAAGAGGTAATTTCTATTGAAAACAAATAATAACTGTTTCTTATAAAACACTTTACTAGAGTTACAAAGTACCCAGGGTAATAATAATATACTCTGTAGGTGTCTTGAGCATTCCCTGGGATAGATATGTGTAAAATACTTATGTACCGGCTACTACTATGATATTATTATTATCATCATTATTATATCACTTGAATACTTGCAATATGAGGCATGAGCATGCTTTCTTTGCTTCTTAAGTCATTGCAGCAAAAATGAAAATGTCAAGTCTAATTCATAAAGAATGTTTGATGGTCAGTATTCCCAGACTGAATATGGACAGTTGGACACATGCTATGTTTAAAGGTAACGGTGTTATCGAACAAGTTTAGGGTGTAAAAAGTTGGAATGTACATTTTAGTAGACAATGATTTGGGTCTTAATAATAAGCAATGATTTTGGTCATGTGATGAGACTGTCCTTATTGTTATGATTATGCAAGTTTGGTGAAACCTGTCTATAAAGACCACCCAAGGGAGACAAGAAAACTGGTCTTTATAGGCAGGTAGTCTTTATGTAAAGGTTCCTTTAGTACATGTTTCAATGAGAAACCATTTTCAAGGAAACAAAAAATGTGATCCTTGTAGACAGGTGGTCTTTCTGTACAGGTGGTCACTAAAGCAGGTTTGACTGTATTACATATTTCATTGTTACCCTCAGATTGTGCAGAATAGGAAGTATTCTAAGTGGAAGGCAACCTATATCCATGGATGTTTGAAGAGAGGAGAGACTCCACAAAGTGGGCCAGCTGGAGGCCAAGAAGGTGCGTTTCAGTTTAAATCAGGGGGTGTTTCACAAAGATCCTAAGTCGAACTTAACTTTAAGTTGGACTTGCAATTATGGAAAGCCGAAAGCATCATTAAAAATATTTTGTAAAAGTTATTTCTAAAGGCATAAAAAGTTGATTCAAATCATTCATATTTTCTATTATCAAGGAGATTTCATGTTCTTGATGTGAAATTTATAAAAAGTCTAAAATAATTAAATTTTTGCTTTTGGAAATATTTAGCCACATGTGTTCAATAGGTGCATGCATGAATAATGATTACATAACTTTTGTGAGGATGTATCCAGTATTAGTCTTAGTGGGTTTTACAATTTTGTACAAGTGACCTTTATATTCAGCTCAGTTCAATAGAATTCAGTTCCATTCAATTCTGTAATATGTGTGTATTTATTATAGTTGAAATGAGAATCATAGAGGCTTGAACAGAGATCAAGATAACACATTTGTTTTTGGAGTCCCCTAGAGTTCATATGTCAATACTTTCACTGAGTCATAGTAGTGTTTTGGGCCTTGTATAACCCCTGAAGGCCTGAACTGTGATCATGTAATAATGTTATGGTTAAAGAACAAAGAGATTATGGATGGAGAACATTGGGAGCTCCAGTTTTAATGTAACAATTCTTTGTCATGGTTCCGTAGATGATCCTCCTTTGTTTCAATAGCTCTAAAAAAAAAAAAAAATTTAAATTTCTGTTTTGGTTTACAGGTGCAGAAGGGGGTGCACCCCTACCTCACCCTTCGAGTCTGCAGCCAGGGGCTCCCCCTCCCACCATACAGCAACCAGGCTACCCACCAGCAGGGGCGTATCCACCAGGGGCAGCATATCCACCGGGGGCATATCCCCCACCTACCGGTGGCGCTTACCCCCCAGCCCAGCCCCCATCAATCAACCAGCTGGCCCCTGGTGTACCCCCAGGCCAGCACGCACCCCCCTCTACCCCAGACCAGGGGGGCGGATACCAGGCCGGTATGCCGGGACCAAGTGCAAGCGCTTCAGGTGAGAATATAGACTAGTTAGGCATGTTCACATATAATGCAATAAAATGCAGTTGTTCACCATGGTATATGTGAACAAGCCTTGATAGTGTTGACCTCTATGTAAAAGCTACATGTAGTGTAGTAGTCACTTTTTACTCCTTAAAGTAGTGTCTTTTGTAGAATCAGTGTGGATATTTCATTACCGGTTTACCAGTATTAATTTTTTCTGTTTTTGTGGTATGAAATTGTTGCAAATTGCAAAAATTCAATGCAGTGATTTTTGACATTTTGGGACAAGCAATATTTGCAAATCTGAACAACTCGCAGAATTCATGAAAGTGGGAGTGTCTAGTTTTTTCAATATTTTTTTCTTTTGCCCTGTGACTTAGGAAGTCAATACTTTTCATAACAATTTTACACCCACTAGTGATTAAAAATACAGTTACATCTAAGATGATGGTCATCAAATTAATTAATTTAATAATTTCGATGTTATATTATCAGATAAGTTCATTTGATGTTCTTAATTAAATTTACATGCATGTTATTCTTCTTTTGATCTTTTTGTACGTTGCTCCTTTATCTTTTTATGTCCGCGTAGGGACTGCTTATGTGGTGATATGCGCTATTGAAATACAGTTGATTACATTTTTTTTCTCACAGAGTTCTGCTTTACAATGATATCCTAACAGAATAATCACTTATAAAAAAAACACCTGTATTCAAAATGTAATAAAAATTTCCTCTCTTCCCTCTCTACCGACTTCTTCTTTACAGGCGCAGTTGAAATTTCCACCCATGAGTCTGAAAAAGCCCAGAAGTTCTGTAAATTTGCTGTCAGCGCTCTTCAGTACGACGATGTTCCAACAGCAATAGAGAACTTGGAGAAGGCATTAAGTTTACTGAAAACCGGTAAAGAATAGGAGATGGACTTTATGATTTACAAGGCATTCTAAGAAGTATTTATATTTGTCATAATTTGGATCAACTCTAGTAGAATTAGGATATGACTTGTGAATCGTTCACCTATGCCGAAACAAACCGCTGCGTTTTTTGTGTGTGTACTGAATGAATGAATAGCAAGTGGAGATGAAAAAAAGTAGGTGGGCACAACAAAGGTTCTACGCTGACTTTATGATTTACAAGGCATTTTAAAAAGCATTTAAATGTCATGATTTGGGTCAACTCTATAAAGCCTAAAAAAAAAAGATGTTGTATTGCCCTTTGCGACCGACCAAAAAATCTTGAAATCTATGGTCGGCTTTTTAAAAAAATATTGTGTTTTTTTATACCATTTTTTAGAAAAAAAATATTTTAAAAAGCATTCAAACCTGAAAAATATCAGCCCAAAGAGAGTTTTAAAAAAAAGTAAAAAGTAAAAAAATAAAAAAAAGATTTCCGACTGACCGACCCATGTTTTGGCACCTAAAGGGCAAAACAACATTTTTTTTTTAGACCTTAGATGTAGGATATGTACATGAGTACATGAATTAATGCTCTTCTGGCCCCAAAAAGACAATCAAGGGAAGTTTATTGCTAAAGGCTTGATGCAGTCCTTTGTTGAAAATTGCGTTGGTACTTTACATATTGTTCCATTTTAGTAAGCTGCCTTACAAGAAGTACTTTTCCCTCATCGGCTACTCTTTAGTATATGTATTGCTTCCTAGCCCAAGTTATATTTCTCCAATATAATGAAATGTATAAAAAAAATGGAACGACTGAAACTTATTTGATATATATATATATATATTTATAAAGCCATGTGAGTCATATCTAAAAATAGAGCTTTAAACATAAATCCTGACTATAACTGAGGATAATAGTAGTAACCTTGTAGCCACAATGTCAATGGGCATCCTTTGTGATGGATATATATCTGTATAAAGTTATTTTTATTATTGTTAGTGCCTCATTACTTTGCCAACTGGACTTTTGTCGTCTTTAGATGAATAGTGCACAATTAATATGAGATGTTCCACCCATAATACCCTTTGCCTTTGACACTGCTCATTATTTATGTGATGCAGTTTCCTTGTTACTCCGGAATTTGGTATATTTGAATGATGTGTGTATGAAAGGAAATTTAAGGCTTGATACCATCCTTCCTATATTAAAAAACTGTACAGGTTATGTACATCTGGTGTGGTAGACCACATTATAAAACAGATTCTAGAATGTAGGCAATCTAATTGGTCGGACTGCAGGAGAAAAAAAATATGTATTTAATTCCATGTTGAACCAAGTTCATAGATACATGTGTCATATTTATAAAAAATATAATTATTATTTGCCTATTTATGTACTAAAATCAGTAACGTGTGTAATTATATGACGGATGTATGAAAGCATTATTTTTTGTTGTACAGTTAGCTTTTCTATTTTACAAGTAGATTGGGTTATTTTTCATTCTTTCATGTACATACTGGCATCAATTACACTGTTCAGTACCCATGAAGTGAGAAATACCAGTAATTTTTTATTACCTCTTTTCATAAAATTATTGTGAGAATAAAGTTTATTCTTGATAGATAAAATATACATCTTCTTAGAATTGTATTGATCAATCTCTGCGACTCTTTAAATTGATCAATGATGTTCTGAGATGATATAAACTTTATCTATCGATCATTTCATGAAGAAAGGTTGAAAAATTTATCCAACTTTTTTGGGGGGGCAACAGTGGTATGTGAAATAAAGTGAAAAGCAATTTACTTTGAATGCAGGTCAAATTTTGAAGTCGTGTGTATGTCCATGCAATATTAATGAATGATATTTGGTTTTTCATACTTCAAAATGGTCATTTGATTTTAGTGAATTGGTGTGAAAAATTGAAGTAAGCCTTTAGTCATTGTGAATGAATGTACATGTATGTCATGTGGTTTACTAATGACCTGTTCAGACAAAATAAAATGTATAAAGAAACGTCATTTAAAGAAACATCATATACAGAAACATCATAAAGAATCAGCATATAGTGAAAGGAGTGTACAGACTACAAAACATTGTATGAAGAAGCCATTTTTGAAGAGGGCAATTGACACGACAGCTGGCTAACTATTAGTGTGTTAAACACATGCATATGTTTGTTTATACAGTTACGCTAGAAAAAATTGTACAGCTACCGATATACGATGAATTTGGGTAGTCTGAATGCACAGTCAATTTGTAAATCTCTTGAAAGGTTTGTAATTGTAACTATTGAAAGATAATTTGCAAAAAGTTTGGCCAATAGGAGTTATAAGAATAACTTATTTTTGTACATGCACCAATATTGCTAACAATTATCTATGAACATGCAGAAGAGAAAAAGTACATGCAGTTTGCTTCTCTCTCTTTCTTTCTTTGTGCATAACTGTCACATGCCAATGTGCTCCTCTACACTATTTACTGTTTTGTCAATTTTTCACGTTTGAACAAAAATTGGGAAATGGAATGGCAGTTGAAACAATGAGAGAGATGTATATATTATATAAGTGTATAGAAATAGAGGAAGAGAGGGGGAGGGTGTGCAAGAAAGAGGGAAAATGAGAGAGAAATAAAGACAAACAGACATTTCATTTATTTTTTTCTTTTATTAATAAAATTGATACTATTAGTATATAGCAGTTTTTATGTCAATATATACAAGATTAAAAATTTGCATATGTACACATGATTACATAATGAATACAATTTGAACATGGAATGATTAGAAAAAGATTGCATAGAAATCACACATAGAAATTGAAGATTTGTCTATAAAAATAACAATACACAATACCAGTACTAGTTGGGTGTCTAATCTAAAAACAACCCATCTCTTAGAGGAAAACTTGTTTATATAGTAATTTAACATTATCTCAAGGGAAAATTAGAAAGCTTGCAAAGAATTTGCATGAATAAATTAATATTACCTGTTGAATTTATGTTTATATATCAAGGTGACTAATTACATCAAGTTATTCATAACTATTCCACAATCTGGCTCATTGGCTCATTTTATATTAAAAATCTCTCCAATTATGCAATTTCCCCCAAACTGCTGCAGGCCTAAGGTGACTTTTTCCTGTTCAAATACAATTGGGGAGGTTCTTGACTAGTCATAACAGCCATATTAACTTGGATATAGTGTCCTTTCACATTAACACTTCATGAATTTGGATTGAATGTTTGAATGCATGAACACCTATACTATGAAACCAGAAACTTTGCCTGAAAAAATCATATTTTTCATTCCACAAAGATTTCAAATAACATCCTCAAATTCTCATATTATGGCATCATCTATGATTCACAAACTCTTTAGGACTTTACACAATCCTTCTGATCTGAGGTACTGAAATAAAGATTTCAGATCAAGTATGTTTTTCTAAGTGAGGCATATATACGGTCTGATCATAATCCAAGAAGAAGATAATAGTACATCAATGAGCTGTCAGAGCTGCATAGGAAATGTCTCTACCGATTTATCTAACTGAAACGTTCTGTTTATACATGAAGAAGCCTAGTGTAATGTACCGGTAGACAATATATTATTTGACATGCTATACAACCATTTGGTTTCAAGTGAATTCAGCGACTTACAAATCTTATATATATTATTATTATTATGAAGAAGAATATATTACACACTTCTTGAATTTTGAGGAACAGAAAATATTATTTTTTACATATTCACAGTGTTATGCCATTCTGACCTGCTGCCCTAGAATTCATTCATATCAAGTGTTACTTGTGACATTCACATTCATTTTCACAATTCTAAACGCAAAATGAGAAAGATTCTACTACTATATACAATACTACACATTTTCATGTTTTAAAGCAACATAGATATGTTTGGTGGTACACAAGTCCAACATTCTGTACAAAAATTTACAAAATATATTCTGATTTACATTACGGTACATGATTATAGAATGTGACAAGTACTATATAGTTCATAAAAGCCAAATATATGGCCATTCATAAGCATGCCAATGTTCTTATCTACAAGAATGGACGGATTTGTTATGGTAAAAATAGAATTTCATACCAGTACATGATTCTTTGCTAAAATAGCACACAAGATGTTGGACGAAAATATTTCACAAACTTAATTTTGATGAAAATATGAAATCAGAAAGTTTTCTAATTGACAGATTGGAATGAAATACTAAACATCAGTATCAACAGGAAGATACACTTATTTCAACATTTTCTTCATTCTCTTTTATACATAACTTTAATGGAGTAATAATGAGTTGCTGGAATTATTTTGCATAATTTAAAAAAGAAGATAAAAATTGACATTCTTATCAGTACAATTTGCATGCATTTAAAAAACATGGAGGGGGTCATAAAAATATGAGATCACTTGGGAATTGATATAAAACGTGAAAAGTCAGCTGCAAATCCTTAATATGATTGATCTTGAGGCTATACATGACCTTCTCCCCTCCCCTTACCCACCTCATGAAGACATTAGGAGAAATTATTGAATGAAGTTCAACACTTTTGTGATATCCCCATACATGCAATGTATCACCACGCCATTTCAGCTAAATTTGATCTTCTCAAAAGGACTTCCCACATCTTTGAAGGGCAACCAAGTAATGGCATTTTCAATACTTGGTAACCCCAACCCCCCTACCCCCTGTTTTTTTTTCTTCAAAAAGATCCTAAGTTGAACTTAACAATTATGGAAAGCTGTTAGCATCTATGAAAATATTTTGTAAAAGGTATTTTAGAAGGCATAAAATGTTGATTCACATGATTCATATTTTCTATAAATGAAGGAGATTTCATGTTCTTGACGTGGAAAATATACAAAGTCTAGAAATACTTTATTTCTCGCTTTTGAATATATTTTATTTTAAGGCTAAAAATTGGCTCTCCATAACTTTTAAGTCCAACTTAGGGTTAAGTTCGACTTAGGATCTCTGTGAAACACGCCCCCCTCCTATTGTCATGGAGTTCATTACCATATCATAGCAGCTTTGATCTTCTTATACAAACTCTCCACATCTTCAAAGGTATTAATTAACAACCTTTCCATACCAACAATGCACATACCCTATCCTTCTGAAATTTCCCATTTCAACTCAAATTCATTACCATATCATAGCAGCTTTGATCTTCTTATATGAACTCTCCACATCTTGCAGGCACTCATGGGCCATCGCAGACGAGTGCTTGATGCGAGCCCGGCTCATATCGACGGCGTCTTGGATACTGCGCAACTCTCGCGTTGTCAGCGGACTATCCTGCGCTGCCCTCTCGATGGCGCCCCGGCAGTCCTCTTCAATTTGCCCATCCAGCTTCTGGAGAGCCGCTATAGCACCGGGACACTCGTGGAGTATTGTCCTGCTTGCTACTGCAACCTGCATCATTAGAAAAGCATATTAAACAACCATATTACAAGATATGACATTTGATTGTCTTAAGTTTTCTCTGATTAATTGCTTAGCAATGATTATGTGTTATGAGACCAGATTTAACTTAAAGGAAATATATCATGACGAGACTATATGTCTTTCCCGTGGCCCTATTTGGTGCCAATCAGGTATAATATGACTACGGACAACGCGACCGCAGCCTTCACGTGCATGCTAACATACGCAAAACCGAAGCGTGAGGAGAATTTCGGTCTGTTTCGCGAAGGCTAGCGCGCGCTGACCCAGTTAATCAAGTCCATTCGTTTATGTGCAGTTGTCCAAAAGAAGACGTAGATGGCGTCAACCAGTAATTCCCATGATACACTCCCTTTAAATACTGCTCTGTAACATGTAACTCCAAGTCTAGTTCATAATAATAATCCGTCCTTGTATAGTGCATAACACATTATGATATGCCCTAGCTTTAGCTCCTGTAGCAGTTAACAGTGCACAGTGCATTTCAAGGAATAATCCTTCCAGGTACCCATTTACCTCACCTTAGTGGAATAGGCCAAATGTAGATTAACGTCTTGCCATAGGACGTCGGTGTTGTGGCAGGGATTAGAACCCGTATCTTGTGGTTAACAGTACAGAGACTTATCCTCTGGACCACAACACCTCTTCATTATAAAGTCATTATCCTTAATACTCCATTGAGAAAAGATTACATCTAAGTCTGCTTTGTGACCAGATTAAATTTGAATCTAAATCGTAGCATTATTTACGTTTAGACTGCTCTATGATAGGATGAAATTCTTAGGACTGGAAGAAGTTAAATACTGCTCATGCACCTCTGATAGGTAAGGTGTAAAGTCTCTAATATCCTCTGACTCCATTACCCCACTCTTCATCACTTAAAATATTAAAAAGCCTTCAAGACAGTGTTAACTGTAATAATATGTATTGATCCATTACAGGTTTTCCTATAATACTGCTTCATGACAAGATTAACTGTATTACTGCTCTGTGACAGGATTAACATTAACACTGCTCTGTGACATGATTAACTTTGATACTGCTCTGAGACATGATTAACTTTGATACTGCTCTGTGACATGATTATCTCTAATACTGCTCTGTGACAGGATTATCTCTAATACTGCTCTATGACAAGATTAACTTCAATACTGATCTGTGACATGATTAACTTTAACACTGCTCTGTGACAGGATTAACTTTAATACTGCCCTGTGACGGAATGAACTTTCAGACATGCTCACCTCTGTCTGGAAGGTTTGGAGTAAGTCTCTCATGTCTTCTGATTTCTCCTCCTCATCCCTTTCCTGTCCTTTCACTAAGAGTGTGACGAAGCCATTATCATCTTCAGCCTATAACAAAAGAAATGAATTAGAGATAGATACAATGTGCACCATCTCCACTCCCTGGGGAGTATTCCTACCATATGTTCACCGTGAGGGCATAGGCAATTACTAACACAAATGCTTTCATCATCCTACCTGGTCCTCATTTCCATCTTGGGTATTGAGGTACAAATGTAGATCAATGCCTTGCCAAAGGTCATTAGTGCCGTGTCAGGGATCGAACCACGACCTTTAAATTTCAAGTCGAGTGCTTTCTACATGATTCTATGATCAGGAACTCTTGTTCAAACTGTGTGAATCTTTCACAACTGTAACACAATCAAAACAAGTTGAATGCTATGAGACATTAAGGCTTGAGGAATCTTAGATTCAGGGGAAAAAGAGGAATGACATCAAGAATTTGATATGTGAACATTTGCTCAATTTCAACAGTGGGTCAGGGAAATTTTACATCGAGAACTACATACACAGCCTCAGATTCTCCAAACAAATTAATATCTATAGGTGAAAATATGAAAAGAGATCACATGTAAATAAACATGATGTTTTTTATTGATATTAAACAAAAAATTATTTGTTGATTTTTTAAAAATTAAGAATTGGGCAAATTGATTCCCAGAAATGACAATTGATCCTCCACAAAATATGATGTTAAGTAAAAAGCAAGGGTTTAAAACTCACCAGTAACTCCAAGCTGTCCTTCTCCAGGGCTGCCTTGAGCCCACTCACGCAGTCTTCCATGGAGCACTTGGGTCCCTCCGGCACCATCTCCGCTTCCATACACTGGCTCTTGAAGAGTCGGACGGACTGTCTGTAGGCCAGCCTGGTCTCATGGATCAGAGCCATGTAGCGGTTGCACTTGTTGAAAAGGCCATCAAGCTAGGGACAGGTAATTAACAGATATGATACATTATGATTGCCACGGTTTTGAGCGCACACCAATATAATAATCATCGTCATCATTGTTTAGCATCCACTTTTCTCATGCCGTGGGGTAGGACATTTCTCCAGCCTCCTGGTCAATAAGCATTTATCTAGGTGACCCCATGTACTTAAAAAAAGAAAATATCTTTTCAATATGGAAACAGATCAACAATGAATGTTCATGTTAATCAAGATGACACAAGCTTTGTAAAAACAAATTCCCTAAATACAATATTATACAAATAATGAATGGTTATGAGTTCAATAGTGCGAATATGTTCATGAGTTGAAAGATTAACATTCTATTCAACGAGGCGTCAGCCGAGTTGAATAGAATTAACGTTAATCTTTCAACGAATGAACATATTTGCACTATTAAACGAATGAAAAACATTCATTATTTGTTTTATACAACATCGAAGAAGACCTAATAGAACGTTAATCAACAAATTATGCTTTACTCCTTATAAATATAAATTAAAGTTCGAGTCAAGCCTTCTCGATTACATGCAGATTGCCTTTGCGTCAGATACACGCAGGGATACGCGCACAGGCAGCAGAGAGGTACGCAGTCTGCATATAACCAAAAATGCACGGCGCATATAACCAAAAATGCACGACCGTGCAATATACCATCTATTGAATATCATGTGACCAACAATCGTCCAATAAAATGACAAGGATCCACGTAGGTGTTGTATAAAAGATTATAACACAGAGAAACAAAATGCTATTCATATCATGAATGATAATGTTGAATGTCATTTCTTTATGGAGGGCATTTTGCATCTTCGCTAGTTAGCCAACATACAGCATAATATTGGATGGTGTGTCAACGATGTTTTTGTGTATACATACAAAAACATTTTGTGTATACATACAAATGTATACATACAAAAACATGCAGAAAGACAATTCCTTTGTCCTTTTTACCAACAACACTCCTAATTTTGTTTAATGACTAATTAAAGGTGAAGCGCCTTGTGTCCCCTGGAAATGGCACTATTTAATTCCAATTATCTTTATTTCTGTATACTATACTTTACCTCTTTAATACCAGTCTTGTCCAGGGGCTCAAATGCTTTAGGATCCTTCTTCTTCTTTTTCTTGCCCTTCATGACCTTTGCCCTGTTGACCTTGACCTCTGTCATCCTGTCCAGGGTGCGGTCCATCAGCTTTCTTTCGATGAGATGTCTGATGAGAGCCTGAATGGCTGCATGGACGCTGCCATCAGCATTCTTTGCAGAGACTGCAACACTGTAGAGAGAAGTATGGACAGCACATATAAAGCTTGCTAATACAGCTATTGTCCTATTGTTCAAGGTTTTGTTTTGCAATGGTGTGCTCCGTTTACTTTTGCAGAAACAAATATATTTATTATTAATTTATATGATTAAATACATTTTAAATTTTTATTTGGAGAAAATTCAGAACAAAAAGGTGATATCATTACAAGGAAACATTTAGTAAAAAATAATATGCCACATAAATAAATTATATAACAAAATGATATAATCTACCATCCACCGTTAAAAGTGCCTCCACTTTGTCATTTCTTACCTGCCAACAAAACCATGTTTCTCTGCAAACTCCTCCAGGAACTGGATCTCAGCGGGTACCTCCTCCACCTCCTGCTGGTCCTCGTACTTCCAAACCGTCACTTCCTTCTCTTCTTCTTTATCCTCCTTCCCTCCATCCTCCCTCTTTGAATCACCATCCTTTCCTGGGTTTTCAGACTCTCCGTCCCTCTTCTCGGCACCAGGACTCGTCCTGTCTCCATCTTCATCTTCATCTCTGGTGTCGAGGAAATCATCCTCATCTTTCTTGGGAAGACTTTGGGTATCTGCATCCTTGTTGTCTTCGATTAGGAGTGGTTTATCTTCCTCGTCATCTGCATTTTCTTCCTGCGATGCATGTCTTTCTTCAACCTTAAGAGATCATCGTTTTGAAACAATGTAATTTGTAACTAAGATTTTATAAAGTTTCAAGGTTTGGAATGAAGGCAATTAGCAATGTTTTAAATGTACAAAGACAAATTAAACATTTTAATCTATTGAATTCTTTAAAAATTTATGTAAATTATTCATTTATAAACAAATCAAATCATAACAAAATGAAATAAATCATATGTCTCTTTTCATCATTACTTTATGGTATCAAGCCATAGATAATACCAGAATTTACAACTTGTAAAAATAATTAAATCTTCATATACAGTCAGACCTGCTTTAGTGACCACCTATCTACAAAGACCACATTTTTTGTTTCCCTTGAAAATGTTTTCTCAGAGAAACATGTACTAAAAAAACCTGTCTACAAAGGCACTTTTTGTGCTTCCCTTAGGGGGTCGCTATAGACAGGTTTGACTGTATTTCACTTACCAAATCATATTTGTTTCCCAGCAAGAGAACAGGTATCTGTGTGTGATCGGCAGGCTCATAGTCGGTCACGACCTTTGACCCCTCGGGGGTACTGACAACCCTCTTCTTGGAGATGACGGCATGGTTCAGGATATCTTGTTTCCAAGTGCTGGCGAGTTCCACACTCTCTTGATCCGCAATATTGGCTACAACTGTGTGTGAGGTAAATCCGGTGATGATGATTTGAGTTTGATAGAGCACAACATTACAAATTCCACCCCTTGGTCTATCTTATTTTTCATTTCCATTCTATTTTCATTAAACAAAAACCTCCATGTTTCGGCAATCTTTTTAAAATATACTTATGTTGCTTTTTACTACAGAATACAGACAATGTGATACCAACAGGGCCCTGTTTGATAAAAACAATAAAGTCAATTATAAGTTATAAAACAAATATAAATTTATCCTACTGAAGGGTTGATGAGTGACACTCTAAAACATATTGTAATTCTTTCATACATGTAGGAGCGGGGGGTTCGGGGAGGGATCGAGAGGTGCCCCAAAATTGTGAGGACAGGGGCACCCATGTACGCTTATTCTAAAATCATTGCATTTGATCAGTTATGAGCAGATCTGTGACAGTTGTTACTTATGCCAAGTTCTATATGAAAATGGTGAGAATCACTAGCTTACCAATAGCTGCATCGACATCCTTATAGTAGCTCGTCCTGAGGTCCATCTCTTCTCTGCCTGGTAGATCCCACATTGCCATAGAAACCACGGTATGCTCAGGAACATTCAACTTCTTCACTACATTCTCTGTTGAAATGAAAGGTGAAATCTCAAGGTCAAAGAGAACACATGGCATAGCTAGCCCCTTATAACAAATTACTATGGTAAACTGTATTTTGGCCACGGTACATACTGTATATACCAGGTACTACCATGGTAGTACAACTACGATTATTGCGGTACGTTGCTCTACATACTGTATATAGAGCCATGGTAAAACTGCTGTATAATATGGCAAAAATCACCCAACGACGATGGAAAACGCCTTAAAAACCAACAACAACAACAAAACGCTGTTTCATGGTCATACCATGGTAATACCATGGTAGTACCATGTTTGTTTTTTGTAAGGGAGAGCAAGATATACTGTATACATCCTATCACAGTACAAAATATTCAGAATATTCAAGCACCAGAATAGTACACTGAATAATGCAGCCCCCACTATCCCACAAAGTTGTTTATTCTCTGTTGCCATTGATTTCCTTTCCAAGATCGATTTCCATGAAGACAATTTCTGAAGACATGCACATGCAAGTTTATAATATGAATAACTACATAATTTATTAGATTTATTTATTTTATTTATTTATCGATGTCCTGCTAACACTATTTAACATTTCCAATTCTAACCAATGAGATTCTTTTTATTACATCAATGAAAAAAAATAAAACTATTGGGGAAAAATATACAAATAATGGAAAAAATATCTACTATTCTACTGACCTATATTGACTGTAGTTGTAGGCCGGTAGCTGTAATCAAACTGGTTTTTGAAGTAGCGCATGAAAACACTTGTCTTTCCGCTTTCAGCATCACCTGCAAAAACAGAAACAAATGATGAAAATTTTGTTTAGAAAAGAGCAAATTGTATAAAACTTCTGTTAGAAAAATATTTAAATTAACTTCTGCAAACTTTCAATTGTTCAAGCCTTTAGAATTGGCCTATCTAATTATCTGAGAATGTCCACTTTTTTCTTTTCACTTGTTGGAAAATCATTGACAAAATTGTAACTAAGTACTGTACAACTTACAAGTCTTGCATGACTCCGGCTTTCATTATGACCTTGATATTTAGCAACAGCAAGTACAAGTTGAATATGGAATTGGAAATCCTATATTTATAACTGTTTCCAAACTTTCCAGTCAATTTCATTGATTACATATTAAAATCACATCAAAGATTGCACAAAATCCAAAGTCCCTTTTTTGCATACTAAAGCCAAAGGTAAATTAGTTGATTGAACTTAGATAAACTTACCAACTAAAACTATTTTGAAGCTTGGGATATTTCCTATGCCTGGATCCAGGGCTAGACGAAGAAAAAAAATGGAAACAAAAAATCAAATACAATTATTGAAGTATAGATTATAAGTATGATTATGACCGGACCGAGTATGAGCTATGAGTAAAAGTATGAGCATGAGCCATAAAAACTGAGAGCTTCCTTGAATATTAGTTATAGGGTGTCTGATCGTGCACTCTGTTTTGTGTGCTAAAAAACCTTCCCATTGAAAAAGATTATTTAGATCTAAGTTCTTTGTTATAACAGTAGGCCTAGGCCTATTTAGACAATCTAGTAAGAGAGTCTAGACTCTATTTCTATTTGTTGTTGTTGTTTTAGTCTTAAAGGCGTGTGTCATTTAATTATGAATATTTACGCCAAATTAAAGTTTTATTAACAATTTTTGTAATGCAAAATTGTAATGCCAATTGGTAATGTCAATGATGATGCGATGTTGTTCAACAATTAATAGGCCTAGAATCTACTCACTAGCCTTGCCCTTGATAAATGATTAACAATAAAAGTCAGACAGACTTGACAGAGTTCAACGTTTTTGTAATGTAAATATAATAGTCTGTAATGTATCGAACTAACCACAATGAGCTACCGCAAAGTAGATCTAGACATCCATATTAAATTCTTTACAGCCACTCACTGCCCTAGCCCGGAGGGCCGCGGGGAACGGAGGCCCGGGCTGGAGCGGGGCGGCCGCGGTCCACTACTTGCTACTTCGTTCGCCTTCGACTAGAGTTCGACTAAATTCGAGCTCATCAGCTCGAGCACAGATCGGATAGAGACAATTACAACTTAATTACGGAATCAGTTTAATATTTAATATACAAAAAAATTATGATTGTATTTCACTTACCATACCCACTGCTACAACCAGTACCCATTTTGCTCCAAAACAAACGTAAATTGTTGGAGTCTATATAAAGTTAGTAATCATTCTGTTAGCCGGCCCAGTAGTACGATTCTGCCTTGCAATTGACTTCCGGTTATCATAAATGAATTGATCAATATACTGAGCTGAGTAAATGCATTGCAGATCTTTTAAAAATGATTTTTTAACCCTTATTAAACTTTCAAAATTACATGTTTGTGGAAATATTTATTTCATTGCAAAATAATTAAAAAAATCTAGAAAACGAATTTTTTAGCTGTTTCTTTTATAGAAGGGATTGACCGTTGCTGGGCGATAACGAAAAGGTTTACACTCTGACGTCATCGGCTCGAGACCATTGATTCAGCGAGCCCGTCTGCGTATAGTCTGATTGATTGATTGATTTTTATTCGACAAGCTTCCAACATAATAATAACAGATCAAAAAAAGTCAGCTTGAACAGGATAACCCACGAAAGCTCGAGAGCTTATTTCCAGTGGGGTCCCTTACAGACATGTAACAAATTAATAAGTTAAAATAGTAATATTTACAGACAGATAAGAAAATTAAAAGAACTACTTATTAAAGATAATAATAATAACAACATTAAACTGATGATAGAAATGATATTAAGTACAAGAAGAAAAAGAAGAAGGAGAAGAAGAAAAAGAGGAGAAGGAAGAAGAGGAAAATAATGATGAATTTGTAGAATTTCTATAACGTACGAAAACATAAGTATATACAACATGAAAAAGTATGAACCGACAGAAGAATAAAAATTTCAATCATATAACATGTCATTCACTTCTCTTCTCTGACTGTCAAGTATTAGGTATTCCTTTAATTTCCTCTTAAAATGATCATAGTTTCCTATTTCTTTTACACCATTGGGAAGGGAATTCCAATGGTCAAAATAATAAGAAGAAAGAAAGGTGAAAGACAGAAAGAAAGAGAGAGGGAGTGAGAGAGAGAGAGAGAGAGAGAGAGAGAGAGAGAGAGAGAAGTAAGGAAAAAAATAATGGAAGAGAGAAAGAAATTAAGAAAGAGGGATGAAAAAAGGATATAAATAATGAAAGAAAGAAAGAAAGAAAGAAAAAGAGAGAGCTGAGATATAAATCGATTAAAGAAAAAAGAACTTGAGGAAAAGAATATTAAAAAGAAAAAAATACAAGAAGAAGAAGAAGAGGAAAGATCATTAAGCCTTAAAGAGGAATAACAAATATGAGCAAATATTGACAAATCTCTTAAATTAACACATGATATCATATATGTTTGTCAGCATTTCCTTGATATAGCAGGAAAATTCCCCCCCCCCCCATGCACCCTCTATCCCATTTTTTTTTTTGGTTGCAAGTCACTGTTTATTTTTTGTTATTTTCCCCCAATTATGTTTTGTAATTTACTTTACTTTACAATCGTTATGATTTTAAATGTTTCTGGGCTGCAAGCGTATCAAGCTGTCACGCTTAGGCTGTAGCCCTTCTGTATCATCACCTCTTCGAGCGTATGTATCTATGATTTACTGAATGTGGAAATGTAATTTAACTTATGTTTTATACTCATGTAAAGACATTGTCACATTATTGTTATAACCTATGATGATTCAGTAACCAATAAATATTTCAACTATTTCAACTATTTCAACAAGAAGAAGAAGAACAAGACTCTGAGCCATTGCGTGAAAGGGCACTGGTCACTCAAAATCACTATCTCGGCGCAATTGCACAAAATTCATGTCGCACGTGTTTTTACTGTACTTACTAATAAAATAAACATATAATTATCAAGTTATGACGTTCTATTTAATATACGAGGCCAGGGGCGTCGCTAGACCTTTTTCAGTGGAGGGGGGGGGGGTGTAGAGGCCAACGATTACCGACTAAACTAGCCACCAATTACCGACAAAATTAAATGTCCAATATCTACAAATTCAACCCTATAAACCTGGGGCCGAAGGCTAAATTGTTTTTCCTATGGACTATGTATAGTACTTGCATATTCGCAAAATAGTCATTTTCCTCGACGACATAAATATACGTATTATTTCTTCAATTTAGTCAGCATCATAGCTATATATTTTAATGCAGGCGCGGAGCTAGGATCTTATTTTATGAAGGGGCGGTAGTGAACAAGAGAATCACTTAAAAGCGCGCTCATTAAGGGGTGAGGGTGATGGGCCTCCCGCGCGAAGCGCGAAAGCTTAGACGTTTCCTTAAATTATTAGGAGAAGAAGACGATTAATTGTACCGTTTTCGACTGTTAATCCTTGGCTGAATGAAGTTCCCCCCCCTCCCGTGCGAAGCGCGAAAGCTATGACGTTTCATTACATTATTATAAAAAAGAAGACGATTTGCTGTACCGTTCTCGACTGTTTATCCTTTTCAGAATTCAGTTCCCCCCCCCTCCAGCGTAAAGCGCGGAAGCTTTGACGTTTCATTAAATTATGAGAAAAAGCAGACAAATTTGGTGTACTGTTCTCGAATCTTAATCCTTGTCTTAATTCAGTTTCTCCCCCTCCCGCGCGAAGCGCGGAAGCTTTGACGTTTCATTAAATTATGAGAAAAAACAGACGATTCGGTGTACTGTTCTCCACCCTTAATCCTTATCTGAATGAAGCTTCCCCCTCCCGCGTATAGCGCGGAAGTTTTGACGTTTCATTAAATTATTAGAGAAAGACGACGATTCGTCGTACCGTTTTCGACTCTTAATAAGCCCTATTCATCTGAATTCAGTTTCCCCCTTTCACGCGAAGCGCGAAAGCTTTGACGTTTCCTCATATTATTAGAGAAAGAACACGATTCGTTGTACCGTTTTCGACTCTAAATAAGCCTTATTAATTTTGTCTGAATTCAGTTTTCCCCTCTCGCGCGAAGCGCTGAAGCTTTGACGTTTCCTTAAATTATTAGAGAAAGAAGACGATTCGTTGTACTGTTCTCGACTCGAGTAAATGAATTTTAGGCCAAGGGCCTTCCTGCTAGTTCACCGCCATGCATTGATTTAGTAATTACATTTTATATATATGTGAATTAAGAGTTAAACTCTGAGAAGTTATGGTTCAGATTAAACAAGAAAGTTGTTCCCTCGTTAAGATTTCTTTAGACATAGTTTTGGAGAGATAGAATCTCTGAGGCCAGTTTGTATAAGCGTCGGTTTCTGAAAGTAGCACTGACCAGAAGGTAGTGACTACGGTTTAAGATGGGAAAGTTTGGTTCAGGTATGCCCAGGAGGGGAGAAATGGTGTTGGCAAGTTGAGAAGCGAGGTTTTATGACAACACGGTTTAGGCCAAGGGGATAATGAGTATGAAAAGAAGAGTTAACACTGACTTGGGAACTAGGTTCGAATAAGACAGAAACGTTGGAACGTAATTTAAATAACTTATAAATATTTGTACTACAAGTGGATTAAGATACCATGTAACCTAGACTAGTTCATGCTTATAACATGTGTAAGCATCGTAAATACTGCAGTTGTTACATAAATTGAATCTTTACCATCGTTGCGGAATTCATTCCACCAGTTACTGTGTCAGGCGCGTACGCAGGGGGGGGGGGGGTGTTTGGGGGGTTAAAGGTACTATGTCCCCCTTTTGCAGCCAACCTCAAATTCTGTAGAGCTTTGCAGGAATTATGAATATGTCATGTATGTCCTATCTGTGAAATTTAAATGTTAGCAGTGTCCTCATATTCAAATTATGCAAGGAAACCCGTTTACTTGCTAGATTTCACTGTCAGACACTATTGAGTGACTGACTGGCTTTTTTCTTCTTTGGTAATAACGAGCTGTAAAGGGTACATGAGCATTTGTCTACATCAATATACCACTCCTTTCAATGGCCAAAAAAAAATTGATTGAATCTTTGCGCAGCATAAAACGTACAACCATTCGGTACAATTGTCTGAAAATCAAGATTATTACTTTTGGGCTCTATAGCCCTAAAGTCGATTTGACAACTAATAGTCATTATTTTCCCACTTGAAGACATTTTCAAGCTCCACCTTTTTTAGGGAAGTTTTAAATAAGTATTATCTTTCAAATGCAGTTGGAATTTAACTTTTTCATTTTTTGCGCCTGCAAATGGGACATAGTACCTTTAAACCCCCCCCCCTTTGGTATTTTTATGTGTATAAACCCCCCTAAAAAAAACCAAACCCCCCCCCCCTTTGGTTTTGGTTTTTGTTTTGTTTTGTTTTTTTGAATAAAAAATAAATAAATAAAATAAATAAATATTCCCATGGCTGACCTAAACAAGGTGACCTTACCTCCCCCCCCCCCCCCCAACGGAGCAAAATGTCAAATTTTAAAATTTCGAGACCAAAAAAAAAAAAGTTTCCTCTTACCCTTCCCCCCCCCCCCCCCCCCCCCGCTTATTCAGCGGCTGGCTGAGTCGAGTGCGAAATTATCGGCCCGATTTGAAAATGTTAACCCCCCCCCCCCCCCCCTTGAAAAAAATCCTGCGTACGCACCTGTACTGTGTTATACATTATTAAAGTTCAAGTTAAACATTATTACAAAGTATTCTCGCCACGATCTTTTGCGAAAAAAGGTGGGTAGGGATTATATTATATATCTCACGAGACACTAGATTCTTTAGTTTTCCTGAAATTAAGCAAATTAACGGCACTCTGAACTCGCTACATGAGCAGATCTATCTTGGTCGATCTGCTAGTGAAGGAATCGCGTATTCATATTGCAGGGTGATCCCGCCCATCTTAGACGGAGGGATGACAATGGACTTATGTATTGTGATGTGCATCTGCATCTACTAGACATACATATATAATTTCCTGATTTGTTTTCTTTTTTCGGGAGAAGAAAAGGGGAGAGAGAGAGAGAGAGAGATTTGACAAGTCACGCACGCACAGCGGTGTTGACATTCACACTCTCACCAGTTTTCTACGATAAACCCCTATTTCATAAAAATCGACGAGTCTGGTACCTTGGTGTTACGCTCTAGTGCACTCGAACGTACGTCGTCTGTGTGGGAGGTACACAAAATGACTCATTGATCTTTTTCAAATTTGTTCATATGAATTATTTATTGAAGCAATTGCCTGACCAATAATTGTAGACCTGATTGATAAAGAAGATGTTGATGGAGAGGTAACTGCAATTGT